CTTACGAAAGTTGAATATAATTAGCTCCGTCCATTTTTCAAATGAAGAGCCTAATTATAAAAAGAAAACAAAAAAAGTGCAGGGGATCCTAGTACTATTAAGCTCCGGCAATGAGTTGGGCCCAGGAAAGGACCGAATCTACTATGTTAGTCTGCAATAGGTAGCCTTAACTTTGCATTTTGCAAGAGGCTGACTGCATTACTCAAATTTGTGAACTCATTGTCACATAGCAACAACTTTAACAATTGCGCCAGGGGTTCCCTTCAAATGAAGAGTTCCACAAGGAGGTAAAGTTTTATTAAGAACATCTAAGCAAAAACACAAATCAATTTTTCCATTACAAAGCCAAACTTAAATAACCACTAAACCTCAAAAATAACTTCTAGGGAAAGTATCATACTATACTGAAGAATACAAATAAACTTGTCAGATTGATAAAATTTTGATGAACTACCTAATACAGTAAAAAGATTGAGGGTTTGTGATAAGAGTTAGGTGATTGTACCATCCCGTTTATGATCAGTGGTTGAACGGAAAAGGAGAGAGGTGAAGAAAAGTGTGTTTGCCATGAAATCAGAGACGTGGCGTGCAAGGAAAGGGTACTCAACCCCAGCAATCAACCCTTTTCTAAGGATTATGTGTGGAGGCTCAAGATAACGCATTCCGATCAAAGACATAGTGCGATCAAAGTGATACACTTCTGGAACATGCTCAGGGCTCAATCGACCCTCTTCTTTAAGAGCCAGTGACTCAAAATATGCTCTCTCCTTTGTCATGGGCCATGATTCTCCTATACATCGAACGTACGGAAGAGCCTTCAAAAATAAAAAAAGTTTGAAGTTTGAGAAATGGGTTAAAAAAGAAAGGGAATTTATGTTTTCCCACGATTATTTGGAATGAAAAGTTAGGAAATTTATTACCTGTTTGATGACAAAAGAACCCGAGGAGTTAGAGACAATGAAGACGAAATTAAGGTTGCCATCTCCGACTTCTTTGATGGTTATGTTGTTGAAGTTGTTGGCGAGCTTGGAGGAGAGTGCTGGCACGGATTTGATGTATTCAATTAGCGACTTCTCATCGAGTGGTCGGAACTCAGTGAAAGCCATTGTATAAGGGTTGAAGGAAGGAGAGGGTAGTGGTAAGGGTTTTGAGGAAGAATGGAATCTTGTGTTTTGTAGTGCGTTTAACTTTTGAAGGAAAAAACGCTACTGGGTGATTTGATAGAAAGACTATTGAGGTAAGAGTGGGAATGCAATGAATCTGGTCAGAATTGTGATCAACGGACCAGCTATGTAGGACACGAATCTATGATTACCATCTACGCTGTGTATTCGGATTTTTCTCTCTCTTATCTTTTCCTCAAGCGGACCTGTAATTAAAACTATTATTAGTTAAAAATTAAAATATAATAATACTTTTCTCTAATTGTGGGCGTTTTGTTTTCCCCCTCCAAATACAACATTGGACTTTTATTTTGGGTATGACACCTAATGTGCATTACCTAGGATGTTCCAAGTGCCATATCCTCTAGGTAGGAACAGTTGTCAAGGATATGATAGCGGATTAAAAGCCCTGTCAAGCAAGTATCTTTAGTTTACTGTTGCTTTACTTGCCGCAGTCCTTGACTTGCAGCTAGAATCTACTGTAGAAGTTAAGCTATTCCTTCAATATTTTAGGAAATACTTGAAAGGCAAAAACAGTGGCATTGTATTGTAGATGCTGTGGATCTGGACTTATAAATGGTCATTCACTCATTTGATATTAATACGGTAATTGTTCTTTAATCTTGACAAGGTGGATTTGTATTATAGGAATCTAATGAAAAACTTTCTATTATTGCTTAAGATGTGGTTGAACATGTTTAGGGAGCTACTTGAAAATGTTATCCGACAATAAGTCAAAATATGTGATATATATGTAGAATATGAGAATAATATCAAAAAAATATGTTAAGAACTTGAGAATAGTAAGAGATAGAATGAAAGAGTAAGTAAGTGCCTAAGTAGTAAATAAACTTTCCTAAGGGGAGAACCGGTTTATAGTGGAGAAGTTTGAGTAATATTCCATTGTAGATACTATTGATCTGGCCGATCAAACAGGTTGTCGGGTCTATACTAGACAAATGAAGGTTTCTTTTCTCAAGTCAGGCTTTGGCATATATGTACTTTGTGAACAATTGACTTTTGTTCATATTAGTATGTATTGTGAGGTCATTGCTTCATTTTGTCCTGTTGTTGAGAGATACATTAGGGCGTAGGTAACATACAGTATGTAGCAGTGGTCTGTGTCCTGCAGGCGGCATGACAATAGGGTGCCAGAAATGATCGCGTACTATCTTATCGTTTATGTCTAACTAATACCTGGTGGCTCGGACCGCTGGACTGTCCGGCTGAGGTATGAGAGTGCTTGGACCATACTTGTTTTGCTCAGTCATAGGTCGATAGTTGCCACCTCTCACTGGTTATGATGAGTACTCTTGAACCGGGATGTAACACTAATCAAAAACATTGTGTTTATTATATATGTGGAGCAAAGTTCACGGAATGGAATTTCTTGGTGCACCAGATCAGAGTTTAACATTCTTCTTGTAATAATAACTACAACAAGAATCAAGATTTAGTTTAGGGTCGGCTAAAGAGAGTAATAATAAGTATGGAAAATAAACAAATAAATAATCCAATAGTGCCTTCCCTTGAAAATAATTCCTCCCATTGCAATTAGTTCAAATAAGGTGATCAAACTGTTCAAATCTGCTTACATTGAAGGCCTAGTCATTTGGATCAGTTAGCTATTAGGAGTAGTCTACTACTAAGTACTAACTGTTCATGTGTTGTTCTCGTCTCTTTCTTTTTTGTGTGTTCATAAACTCATAATCATAAGGAACTTTACATAACTTACATTGTTGTTTCAATGAGTGGCGTGTGACCTATTTACCTTGAACAAGAACCTCGCCTGTCATCCTCCAAAATCTTGTGGCACCTTTTCCAGAGTATGCTCCAATATCTTCATTTGGTAGCCTTGATTGGCAATTGTGCTGTGAGTCTCAAATATATATGCCGATGTTTTTAAGCAGCAGCAATTAAAGCTACCAATCATACTTTGATGGTGTTGTTTCTCTTGTGAATTTTACTATTTGTTATTATTGTCAAAGATTTTCATTTTATCATGTATGATAATGATCATAGCATTTCCATGATGTGAAATAGCTAGAGGGCCCTTCCAGGGACGGGAGAAGAAATTGCTGTGCCCACATAAGCCAGGGAGATGAATTGGAAAATTTGTCTGAATTTCAACCTTAATTCTTGTTTGTTTGTTCGTTCAATTAATAACACTATTTTATAGTTCATAGTATTGCTTATCTGTTATTTATATCGTCAAACAAATTTAGGACTTAGCAAAATGCAACAAAATCGAGTGTGAGTTATCTCCATTAATGGAGAGACAAGTTATATTTTCATATTCTTTTCTTGGTACTTGTCTCTCCATTAATGGGAGAACCCAGCAAAATCATGCTCAATATAAATTTATGGTCCTCACGTAGAACTGTGAAATGTTAAGCATGTTCAAACCTTGACACTTACGCTCTTCCCCTTCCCTTACAGAAACTTTGCCAATAAAAAAAATGTATTCTTCTTAAATAGCAAGATGAATTGGATGATTTCCTCTAATGGGTCAGTATTAACTTCAAGCTCACAAGTAGATTGGTTATGCATATTTACTATATTTTCTTTGTAATTAATATATATCCTGTTACCATCCAGAAATAGATGCTTATTTGTGCATGAAATACTTTATCTTGCCAAAGGCCACATTTGCACAATCAATGATTAGTTACTAGTTTGAAACTGCCATCACTTCTCTGGCTAGTTGTGAAACAGAAGATGGTGGACAGAAAGTCTTCTATTTACTAAATATCTGATTTTTTTTCCATTAGCATGTTTTTTGAACTCCATTCAATCATTAATGGAAGTACATTTCAAGTTTGATAATCTACTTTTATTTTTCACATGATGTCTATAAACAGGCTATTGTTGATTCTTAATGGTTCTGTCTTTCATGGCCTCATTTGTTTACCAATTATCCGCAAAGGTACCTTCTCCAAGTATGAGTATGGAAAGCTCAAAAAACTGAAAGTATATGGCGAGTCCAAACCTCCAAAGTTTGACCTTAGCTGCATACAAAAATTATTGCTCCGTGGATGGCATAGGGGAAAATATGCTTTAGCAGATAATAACTGATTTCCAGCGCAGTCCCAAGGAACTGTCATCCACACGGGGGAGCTGGTTATATGGTCATGTTCTGATGAAGATCACTTATCCCAACTTGGTGATCCGAACTTGAGTATGCGAGCAAAAGGACCCTATGATTTGTTTTTTTTAACTCTTTGGGCAAATCTAATAGTATTTCAAAGTTTTGACAGTATGATGGATGTGATTTAATGCAACATTGGTCCTTGGACTACACTTTCTGTAAAGTTGGTATATTATTACTATGGTGGGCTGTCCACTTAGATCTTTTATCTAATTGAGATAACGTGTTTTATTTTTTATGTTTTAATAGTATATCTGTCCAATTAAAATTAGCACCTAATTAAAAACAAAAATAATAAAAAATAGAAAATAAATTTTTTATATTATTTGGCGAAATGTGATTAATTTGGAACATGAGACATGAATTTTTTGGAACATATAATCATATGATAATGAATATTGATATGTACTACTGCGGTTTGGTTTTGGTTTGTTTATGTTTAGATATTATTTTTCCCAACTTTTACACGTCCAAGAAAAAATTGTAAATCTTACTCATACATTTAATGTGATTGGGACCTAAAAAGTACAATATGGTTGATATTTCTTCAATGCTATCTTTTATTCTTCTTCTCACATGTGGTACTAAGTTTGTAAGCTGTAAGGCATGCTAAGCTGTTTTGCAAGTACAACATATCTATTTATTTGATTACTTGTTTTTTTAGGTACATTGAAGTCATTTATGAGCCCTTGGGACCTGAAAAAAGAAGAAAGAAATCATCTATGAGAATACCCACACACACCCCTCATCATGGTGATTCAACACTTGAACACCTAAGGGTGTGTTTGCAAAATTGACTTTGGAGTCATAAAATATACACATATGATAACTCTTATGTTTGATTCCTTTCATTTCTATCTCTTTTGTGTGTGTAAAAAACACAATGTAAAGGAAAGCCATGAACATGAGTGAAAATCCAGTCTACAACTCTCTTGCATTCAGTACACCAGGTAATTTTTTATACTTCATCTACCACTCACAAAATCTTGAATGAAAGACATCATAGTTGCACAATTATGAGGAGTAGGACATTCCTTAAAAGCAAACTGAACACCACATGTTACTAGCTCAACCATTAAGCTATTTTGCGATCTAATATTAGTAGCAGGGTCCTCTTTTGTGATCTAATACTAGTAGCAGGGTCCTCTTTTGTGAACATTGAATTTTTTATTTAATAACTTCATGATCGTTTTTCAGAGATAAACATTGAGCTACTTATTTGTATATTTTATTTTTAGTCTAGTTGAATTCTTCTCTAATTTTGATATGACAAAATTAATTGAATTTGCAAAGTTTTATCCAGGTGATTTTGTTCAACTAATTTTGTGATTTTTGATAAACAACTTAACTTACATCATTAAATATTGAATTTGATTTTGAAATGAATGTTTTATATAAATTAGTTTAAAGTGGAATATAGATTATTTATACATTAGTTTATCTTATTTTAAAGTTAGTAATGTAATAGTAAAAAAACATTTTTTCAACAATGAAAATTGTAAAAAATAGGTTGTATAATCGAATGAGAGATATAGATGATTGATTATCTAGTGACTCATATTTATCGAGAAGTGTTCAATAATATTGACAATAAGTTGGTCATTTTAAAATATGAAATCACGTAGAGATAATTATGAAAAATATAATTTATTTGATTAAATATATTTTAATTTTATAATTTTGATATTAATATTGTGATCCACATAATATTCATTATTATTTTAATTTTTAACTTATTTATGTTTGCACACTTTGTTTCTGAGTTGATAAATTCAATCACCACTATGCTAAAAACAATTAAAGAAATAGATGTTAAGGGAAAGTCACATGAGAGCTAATGTAATTTGCATTAGTTGGACAATGCTGGTAAGAATAATGACATAACTATAAGAAAGTGGAAAAGATATATTACTTAAAAATCAACCTTTAATAAACAAAATATCAATTTATAATATTCACTATCTTCTTGTAAGTGAGAGAATTTATAAAATTAATTAAGAGTATTTATCATTTTTCTATTTATAGAAGAAGTTGTAGTATTTGGATTTTTTTGTCAATATGCAACATGTTGTCACTATGTTAGGTTTATAAAATAAAAGTTAAGAGGAAAAAATGAATAGAAAATGTAATTATTTTTTAATTGTTTGGTATGATAGAAATAGAAGAAAAGAGAGAGAGAATATATATTTATTATTAATAATGACATTGATATACATTTTTTGGTTTATTTTCTTAGAATTTTAGTAAATTATTGACATTTATGAGTGTGACCAACATGAAATACGAACTTTTTACATGTATAGTATATATAATATTTATGCATTGTTAATATAAAAATTTATACATGATCAACACATTATCAATCTTTCATTTGTATTACTTTTTTGTAGAGTCAATTATAATAAATATGAATAATTATTAATATAGTGACAATGTTTAAAATCATACACTATCAATGTATACATTTTTTCTTTTAAATGAATATGAAGTTAATAATGAAATAATGCCTCATTAGTCTTTTTACTTAAAAAATTTTGTCCCAATATTGAAGAAAAAATATAAAATATAAAAGTATGGATCCCACCATTTTTCTTTCCTTTTCTCCTATAAATACAAATCAAATAATATAATACATTATTTCTCTTCCCCTCATTTTCATTCCTTAAGTTTTCATCTCAACCAAACATTCCGTAAATTTCCCTATATCATCTTTCATAGTTCACACGGTCCATTCAAAACAATAAAATAACAAATTCAACGGTCACAATCATTGATCACAAAATATACACTTCTAGTTTTGACACGTTAGCCTAGTATGCAGCACTGATACATAGTTTTGACACCATGTGACTGTCATATTGTATCTCATATTTTATCTCATACATCATTACATCAATCATGGACAGTGTTTTATTACATTATTTATATATAGGTGAGTACATTTTAATGCAATAGATATATTTTCTATGCTTAGAAAAATCGCAATGGCTAAATCATCTATATATCCATAATGTCTGATTTATACAGAAATTCATATTTATATATGCTTGGAGAAATAGGACAATCAAATTAAGTGGAAGATTCCCTACCTAATAAATATAATTGAACAGTTCCTTGTGCTTACACTTATTTCTACTTGTCTACGTGCACTTATTTCTATTTGGGACAGGATCCCCATTTATTCAATGAGTCCATTCCAAATAACAAAGATATTGCAACAAAATCTTCTTAGATTTTAAGATTGCCACGCTTCTTAATATCTTCCACTAATGCATCAAGATTCCGGTCAGATGAACCACCAATGACCACCGCTGCCTCTGCCGCCTTCTTCCACCGGAGTGCATTTTTCTTCAAGTCCTCTGCTTTTGACCCTACTGTTGCTTCCAATAAGCACTTTTTCACTTCATCTCTAGTCACTGATTTATTCTCAGCTTGGCTATAACCCAATCTAATCCCTACCCCAAGCACATCAACTAAATACTTTGCATTTGTAACTTGGTCACCCCATGCTGGAAATGTCAACACTGGCACACCCAAAGTGAGTGTTTCCATAGAAGAATTCCATCCACAGTGTGTAAGGAAACATGTAACTGAAGGATGAGCAAGTACTTGTTCTTGTGGACTCCACTGAACTACTTTGCCTTTGTCACTAGTTTCTTCCAAGAACCCATTTGGTAGAACATGAGGTTGGACATTCCATTCCTTAGGAGGTGGTTTTAGTACCCATAAAAATGAAACCTTAGAGTTAACAAGGCCAAAAGCAATTTCAACTACTTGTTCTTGAGGCAGGTATGCAATACTACCAAAGGATATGTACACCACAGAAGATGGGGGCTTTGAGTTTAGCCATTCAATGCAATCATCACTCTTATAGAAATCACCACGGATAGTGTTGGTTAATGGTGCTTTTGGGTTCTTGAACAAAGGGCCAACAGACCTTATGAGAAAGTATTTAGAAAGATAATCGATGTAATCCTTTTCTAACTCATCAAAACTATCCACCAATATACAAAAGGGCTTCGACAAGTTCTTAAATTGTTCCAATATGACTGTTCCTAGAAAAGGAAATGGACTAGAAGGATGCAAAAAGTCTGGAATTTCATTGTATTTAAGGACAATAGAAGGTAGTTGAACATCAATAAAAGGCTCAGAATGTGAAGGGAAAGGTACTAGTTTATGAAAGTAATGATAATAAGCAGTAAAAACAGCACAAGATTGAACCCAGAGAAGAACAGAAGGAATACCATGTTCAGCAGCAACATCAGAAACCCAAGGAAAAAAGGGATTGTTTATGATGCAGGAAATTGGGTTGTTAGCCTCTGCATGTTTTTTTATCATTTGAGACACAAATTTCTTCCCAACAACTTCAAGATGTGTTAAGTGGTCATTAAGATTTTTCTTGATGGGGTCATCAGGTGCCAAACCATCTTCAAAGAACTCAAACTTGAGGAAACCATCACCAACTGCAGTAACTGATTTCTGAGTGATGTTGTTAGCAGCTTGCATATCTTTGCCAGTTTCTTCAGTGGTAGAAAAGGTGACAAACAAACCCCTTGAAGCAAGACACTTACCTAGTCTAAGCAAAGGGTTTATGTGACCCTGTCCTGGAAAAGACACTAGGAGAACATTAATGGGAGCTTCGGATCCCATTTTCTAAGTTTTATGTGCTATTGTTTTTTAGGAGCTAGCTTTCATACATTAAATAATGGTATTTACTAGTATATTGTTTATTTTTAAGCTGCCCACATGATCACATTAATGATAAGTTGAAACAACAGATACCACTTGTTTCTAATGGTATCTCATGTCTTCCATCAATCACATTTTAAATTTTTATTTTATCCACCTCTCAATATTTGATTGGTTTAATGTAGGTAATCACATTAAATATTCAGAGATAATGACATGTAGTGTTTAAAAAAAATTAATGGGGTAGATTTTAAGTAATTTTTAATTAAAATATAATTTTTTTAATTTTTAAATTATTATTGATCTCACATTTCACTACAGGAAGAGATCCTATTATTGTTAACCTACTATCTCTTTTGACAAATAGTACAAACTGCCTCACGTGGGACGAAATTGTTTTATATTTGAAATAGAAACTTCTTTTCGTGCAAGATGGCAAGATGGCAAGATAGCCATATATGTACATCATTGCTGAGGATTCTCATCTTATATACAGGAAAATACTGGAAGAGGTTATGATATATGATCTTAAAAAGTTGTAATGATACAAATTTTAAATTATTTTCAAATAAAAAATTATATTATTGGAGAGAAAATCAACTGATGTGAAATAATAAAATACAAACTCCTACTTGGGGGTAATAGTTTTTTATTGTAATTAAAAATTGACGTTAACTTTTCTTTTTGAACAAATTAAAAATCAAAAGGTAAAGCCATGATAAAAGGGGATGGGCAATGCAATCTCATCCATATGGAATTAGATAAGCGCATATGTAATAAAAACTAATGTTGCAGATATTAAAATTTTGTAATGTTTATAATATATTCACCATTTAAATTATGAATAAAATTTATACATATGATTAATATTATAAAAATTTAAATGAAATGCAGTGGTTGGTATGATCTGATAAATTCACATTTAAATTTGAAGGGCAGATAGCACGTGAATTCATTTGCGATCTATACAGACATAAATAAGTAGATGGTCTCCGACAGTGGAAAGTCTAGTGCATGTGATGAAGATATGATATTCCATTTAGTGTCTCCAATGGTATACCGAATTAATAAAAAAATATTAGTTAATTGGAATAAAAATGTTATAAAAATATAATGTAATATTTTATATTATTTAACCATCTTTTGTCAAGACGAATGTTTTTTTACATCATAATAGAGATATTATTATATAATTATATGGGTTTAGTAGTTATGCAGTATAATTGTAAAAAAATATATTGTAATGTATCATTTACTATGAAGTTAATAATTAGATAATGAGTTATTTGTGAAGAAAATAAAATAGACTAGATAACATAATGTGTCTTATTTTATTGTAATCTATGTTTTGGTAAGCTAACAACATAGGATAAAATTATCTTGTTAGTATATTATATCTTGCTCACCTAGTGTATTTTATATCGGGTGAAGGAAATGAGTAGGGCAGTGCAATTTCTCCCCGCATACCCTCCTTGATGGACATTGTTGTCATTATCACAATCTAACCTAATCACCCCATCCACTATCACATTATTATCTAGTATGCACTACATAATTGACATGATAAGAGCTTAACATGCTTATTTCTTATTAAAGTCTCTTCTCAATCATAACCATCATTTCCTTTCTACTCAATAGTAATTAGTTCAACTTGAAATACAATTTGAGTTCAGTACGAATTATTTCTCTAACTTGAATTCGACTCGATTTTAGTTCATGAATTGTTCGGTTCGAATCCCTTGTTCGAATTGATTTAGTATATTAGGATTTTGTTGAACTCATTTATTTAACGAAATTATTAATTTTCACTTATGTTCAATTTATTTTGTTTATGAACCAAATTTATTTAGATAAATAATTAGTGGAGTTTTGAAAAGATGTGAAATTGATTTCACTCATTAGATGTTGTTACTGTCTATGAACTACCAATGTACACTTCAATTCCCTCCTATCCACATATACAAAATTAGCAAATATAAAGATACTTAGATGGATTCAACATCCATTCCAAAAAAGAGAAGATGAATTGTTACAACAAGTTGTTAGTATGTTGGGAGAGTGAAGGAAAATAAGTACTATCACCTCATTAAGATGAAATCTCGAATTTTAAAAAATAACCGTATTTCTCACATGCCAAATAATCCATATAGTAATGAACCAAAGGACATTCACATTTTTTTACTCTTGTTCGTCAACCTCAACAAATTAATATGAGAAGAAAACTTTACCTTAACATCATCGTGTAGAATTGAGTTAATGCCAACCCGAAATAGAGATATTGCCAAACATTGTAAGACCTCGAGCAAGTAAAAAACATGTGGCTTATGTCTTATTCCTCCTCTCCACAAAGAGCACAACACGGTATAACATGCGCTCCTAAAACACATATTTGAGTAAGACATAACCTTGTCAGGACTCCACCCAAAAAGATTTTATACACCAAACATTTCATCTTGGATGGCACGTTGCATTTCCAAACTTTTTTGATGTCCATATTGTCATCTCTTCTAACCTCATTACATAGTATAGAATAAAGAGCATAATACCTAGTTAAAGAAATAGATAGGTAAAGAGCATAATACCGAGTTAATAAGAGTTACACGTACACTAAAGGATAGTAGCTTATACTTCGAGAGAGAATGTTTCTTCTTGAAAGAGTCAATGATATGAGACCAAGTGAAGAGCCTTCTAAGATTAGCACCAACAAGAATACCGAGAAATTTGAAAGGAATAGATCCAACTTCACAATGAAGTTCTTCCACTCCTCACAAGACAAAGTCTCGGTTGAAATTCACCCTTATGAATTTGATTTTGTGAAAATTAATTTTCAGCCTAGACACCAATACATAACATTTCAAAATACTCTTAAGCACCAATTTGGGTGTAATTTTTTTATTTTATATTCAATTTCTCAGGGTCATCATCTTTTAATTGAATTGAGATCCTCTCCGCAATTAACCTTTCAATAATAAAATTAAAGAAAAAAATATCCTCCTCATATTGTCATACCGGGAAGGAGTTTAGTGTTTAACTCCTACTAACTGTATAGCGTAATTTATACTATATATAAAGGCAAAACATGAAATAACTACCATCATGGTGTAATTTCTAATTTCCTATTTTACCCCTATATTTTTTTAATTTCTACAAAAAAATTATAATCATAGGTAACTACCATTAGCACATTAACCATCTTTCTCACATTAAATTGAACATTATAATAAGAGGAGGGGTCCACTTACTACAAGAGTAAGTGGAAAAGGACTTACTTCACATCTTAATCATTCAATCTTGGAAAATCCAATTGTTTGAATTGGTATGTACATCTAAATCATTAGATTTTCCAAGATTGAATGGTTAAGATGTGAAGTAAGTCATTTTCCACTTACTCTTGGAGTAAGTGGATCCCTCCTCTTATAATAAATACATTTTTTAACATAAAGTAATGTCAATAGAAAAATCTTCTAATTGTATAAAATAAAATATATAAAAATTGAATATTTAATATAATAAAATAAGAATGCG